CATCAGTGTATGCACGAGGCAGGGGGGGTCACGGCGGCGGGGGGTGGGGGGGCGGGGAACGGGCGGGCGACAACGAAGCAGTCGCCCACTGCATGCTGAATATCATGTTGAGGCTGCATATCATGGTAATATAACCTACTTGTGAATTCAGTCAGCACTTCGGCTCCCCTAGGGTCGACAAAACGTAGTCGCCGAAATATCGCAAACCAGTTGAAACGTAGGTTGCACCCCGCTACCGTAGCGTCAGAGGTCAGATACGCTACGCAGCCTGTGTAGTGAATACTCCCTACAATAACGGCAGCAGTGCCGTTGTAATGACTCGGTGACAATCAACACTATGGCAGGTATGCGAAGGACTGCGTGAAGGACTTGTTTGTAACAACGTAACTGTATATCCGTTAAATCAAGGGTTTATGTCGATACTCGAACTAAAACCGAATTTCCCGCCAAGAATGTTCTGCCCCTGCGGCCGCTAGATCCGCAGGGTACGGCCGATACATGCTCCGCGGTACCGGCCTCTCTCTCTCTATGAGACTGCGACTATGGTATACGGTTGCCCGTAAAGCGCATTACTAGTCTAAATTGATACGAAACTATAGTCAGTTTATCCTACTTATTACTTTTTCTAATCTTTAGTTCATTCGCTTATCTAGTTTCCTATTCTAACCGCAGTACTTTGTAGTGCGAGTGCACTACAGCCGTGCTCGTTGTGAAGTGAGTGAGGGTTGTATGAATAGTGAAAGTGACTGTCAGTTCTTATTGATATACTTTGAATATAACATTGGTGAAAGCACTAAGCATTCTTTATGGAGTGACCATTGGTATGATTATAGGAAAGGGAGGCTTGTGCCTTGGTGTAAAAACTATTTGCATCAGGCTACGCCGTCTCCTCTCCCAGCAACAAAGGCCGCAGTGCCTGCTCTACTGGGGTTGAAAAAACAACAACAATTTTCAGAGATAGAATTAGCTGAGACAATTTATTTACTTAACCTTTGTTGGTCTGATATATTTGTTCAGTATGATAGATATTGCTTGCCAGCTCGCTATACTCAATTGTGGAGTTCCAGGGATGCGCCCCACAGTTGCCCTTCAGAGATACAACCGAGTAATTCGTACAGCTTATTGTGAATATTTGTACAAAGAGAAACACTCTAAGTTATCGTGACCATATCTCAGCAATTGCATGAGAGAACTGAGGGCTCTCCCTCACTTCTCATCAGCTTATAGGGCCTGAAGTACCTAGAGTGTTATGCAATCCCATCACCCCATCGTGTGAGGAAACTTGGATCCCTTCTACGCCTCACAATTGTGTTTTTCATCTGCGTTTGTGTTGTCGTTGGGGGCACAAGACGCAGAGCTGCTGGACGGGAACTAGTGCATCTACTGACGTGCGTGGGATCAGGTTCCCAGGGCCACATGATCCCTAAGGCCGCGAACTCCCCTTAGACTGGCGTTTCTGAAGGGGAGTTTCTCACAGGGCGCACCGAAGCGCCGAGAAGAACACACATGCGAGCCCCAAAGCCACTTAGCGTTGCTCTTAGGAGTAGCTAGGATCTATAAAACATCTGGTAGTCACAGCTGCAATCCCACGAGCAGGGATTCGATATAGACTCTGAACAGCACAACCAAGAGGATATGTAGGCACGCAGGTGGCATAGGCTCTAGAGAGGACAAGGAGATGTTTAGTGGGGTTTCGTGTCGGGGGCA